AAACCCTAAACCCTAAACCCTAAACCCTAAACCCTAAACCCTAAACCCTAAACCCTAAACCCTAAACCCTAAACCCTAAACCCTAAACCCTAAACCCTAAACCCTAAACCCTAAACCCTAAACCCTAAACCCTAAACCCTAAACCCTAAACCCTAAACCCTAAACCCTAAACCCTAAACCCTAAACCCTAAACCCTAAACCCTAAACCCAGGCGCGGAACACGGGCAGTTTCGTGTATGCAGATTCTACATGCTACCGAAACTGCACAAGACGCCAATCAAAGAAAGACCGATCTGCTCATCTACACTCTGGATTTTCGAGCATGCCAGCCAGGTACTAGATCACTATCTACGCCCGCTTCTAACCTTGGCACCAGCCCACTTACCAGACTCGATCACCCTGCTGCACACGCTCCGCACCCTACCGATACCTGAACACGCCATCTTTCTGACGTACGATGTGGAAAGCCTGTATCCGTCTATTCCGTTACAACAAGGCCTCACCGCCATTCGAGAAACGAAAGACAAATTTATACGCAAGCATGGTTACCCGGTGTACTCGGAGAAGGGCCCTGCTAAGCAGCTCAGTGCTTGTTGCGCACTGCTCGAGCTAGTCATGACTGAAAACCACCTTCAGTTTGACGAGAGGTTCTATCGACAGATCCGCGGTACTGCCATGGGGACCCCAGTAGCAGTGATCTACGCAGTGCTGTTCATTAGCTGGTTGGACACCCTCATGGAGGAACAATACCCTTCACTATCAGAGCACGTACTACTGCACAGACGATATATCGACGACGGACTTGTGGTCTGGACAGGATCGCTAGCAGATCTACACAGCTGGATAGAGGGGTACAACAGTCTCATGGATGGCATCCGCATCACTACCGAGATTAGTGCCACAGCATTTACACTGCTCGACATCACTTTCAAAAAAGGTACGCAGTGGGAAAATACGCGGAAGGAGAATGCTGGAGGCGGTTTTTTGGATACCTCGGTATACCAAAAGCCGTTGAACGTCTATCAATACTTCCCGTTCCACTCTGCACACCCGCGACACTGCAAGCGAGGCTTCATTATCGGTGAACTGTACAGGTATCTCCTGAGAGAGTCCTCAGAGGAAGGTTTCCGACGTATGAAGTCTGCATTTGCAGCACGCTTGAAAGCACGCGGCTACCACCCGACTTTCATTCGACAGATCTTTGACGAGGTGCAGTACAGCGACAGGGACGCGCGCCTGCAACACTCGGAAAAAGGTAAACAGCGCGACAGCAGGGTACTGCCTTTCGTACTAGAGTACCACCCGAGCCTCGAGCACACACGTGTAAAATCCGTGCTTCGATCCGAGGTGAGCAAGGCAACCTTAGAGACGCTCTGCCCGAGACAGCCTTTCTTTTGCTTTCGCGCAGCACCTAAGCTCAGGAATGTGCTAGTCCGCGCTGCGTTCACAAGCGAGGATGCTCCAGATCCATCGGAGTGCAGTGCCGCATGAGTGCGACGCAGGGTTCGCTTACACACCACATCGGATTTCCCACTGAGTGCTCTCTTCCCACCTTACCTCGTCTCTCACTTGGCCGCACAGCCCCCGTCTCTTTCATGTCCTCCTTTTTCCCTCCTCCCCCTCCCCTCCCACACCCCTCCAGACTTCTCTCAAGACAATGCAATGACCTATACCACTCATACTCATGCCTCAGTCTGTCTCTCTATTCCTTCCAACACCCCTCTCTCCCCACATACACACACTCACACAACCCACCTGTATCAACAATCATCGCACACATCCCCGCCTGCATATCATCCAAGACATGCACAATCATCACACCATCCAGTGCAGACACGCATGCCCACCAACAACACTCGCCCCACGCTAAGCCCCCACGCAACACTGCGCACTGCACACAACTGCCGGCATGAGCAAACACGCGAGCACGCTGATAGTGACACTGACCGACAGCCCAATACAGTGCGCGCGTTGCCTAGGCGGGTTTACATTCAAAATCCCACGCATATCTATTTTCACCATGCGTCCCCTCCTGTCATGTCCCTGCCTAGCATTTTTCCCTGCCATGCGCCATACGTGTACCTTGCGCTTTACTACTCTGCAGGTATAAACTCCCCAAGAGCACGCCACAGGGACAGTAAAATATAATCGGCAACGCCCTAAGACCACATCATAATGTTTTCTTAGTTGATTATCTCACTTGAAGCAAATAGAATAGCCTTTGGGTGTTGTGTAATTTCAGTGAGGCGCTACTACAGGGGATGGGACTCTCTTCCCCAACCCTGTCTTCTCTACTTAGGCTAGGTTTCGCCACTCTTGCTGCTGTTAGCACTGATGATGGCCATTCAGTGGCCGAAATGCATTTGCAACAGTTATTTCAGCAGCCCTAGGGCGTTTCCTTAGCTTGAAAAGAGAAGAATAGATTAAAATAGGTTTTTTTTCCGCGTATCTCACGGGGCTTTTCGCGAACAACATCGCGTCACCGCACTGAACCGTAATCGCGATTTTAGTAGGCGAGTCTTTTCTTGGCGAGAATTTTCTTTTTTTCTCGCCAATTCAACTCGATTTCCCCCCCCTCGATTCTCGAATCTTGACCCCCGAGGCGCGCGAGTCAAATGCGCGCCTCGGTTTCGTTTTTTTCAGCACCCCCACCCAATTTCAATTCGACCCAAATCCCCCCTCCCCAACTCACTCGCCACTCACCTCCTCCTCCTCTCACGCTCTCTACCTTTAGTAGCCGCCAAGGTAGTAAAGCCGCCCCAGTTTAAACTGGGCATTGCTAGCAGCTGCAGCTAGGCTTATTTTTTTAAATCAAACCCTAAACTACGCCGCGCGACGTACTTCAGATCGCACGAAGGAGTCGGAAGCCGGCTACTAGTATGACGGTTTACCTTGGCACGAGATCACAAACTTCTAGAAGGAGCAGCCACACTCACCATCAGCTAAGCACAATTAGGAGGCGGCTTGGTGTCAACTTCAGAGAAGCAGCGGCACGGAAAGCATCAGGCACTGGTACTTCAGGGGCCAGATCGGATTTCTCTGAGGTACCAAGGGCGGATTACGCCACGTCAGAGAACTCCCCCCTGCAAACTCCCTCTGTCCAATCCGCCAGCTCAGGACACGACGGATACGCCGAGCCAATGGCTGGAGAGGAGATGGGAGCGGGATCAGGCGCAGGGGCAGGCGCTCATAAACACGGCACACAGGCAATGCCTGAGATTTCAGCCGTCACGGATGCAGTAGCCACACCTGCAGCAGCGTCAACAGGCTTGGGGACAGCACCGGCAGGCATGACGGCACAGGCCACAACCGCAGCAGCGCCCGTAATCACACCGGCGGGCACAGAGGCGATGAAGACACCGACAGCCACAGCAGCACCCATGAGCACGAACGTAACCGCCACAACAGCAGTGACCACACCTGCAGCAGCGGCAACAAGTTTGGGGAGAGCAGCTGCAGGCTTGATGACACAGACCACAAACACAGCAGCGCCAGTAATCACACCGGCAGCTGCAACAGCCATGAACACACCAACAGTCGCAGCAACAACCGTTAGCACGGCAGTGGCGAGCTCACCTGAACTGACACCACTAGAACCGACAGCCCCAGCTATGGAACCTCCAACCATCAACCCACCCGCAGACCCATCTACACCTAGTATCTCACTGGTCGACGACACAAGGTATGTTGGAACGCCAGATAGCTGGTACACGTACCTATACACCGACCTGCTCAAGGGGGCAGTAGCTCTCCTTGATACCATCTCCCCGAGGCGTTCCCCACCAGAGGCACCCACAGCACCAGCATCTCCCCTTACCCACACGTCAACTCCTACCGCCCCACACCCATGTCTGAACCCACCAGCAGCACAGGCCAGCCCGATGCCAGGCATGCTACTGGTAAAAAACACTAGCAGCCGTTCCATGCAAGGTGCCGAGATCAACGGCAAGGAGGGATTGGAAACAGGGGTAGGCACAACAGAGACCGGTACAGCGGGGGAGGTGCAGGTGGAACAACGCCTCACAGCAACAACGGCAGGCAAAGACAAGGAGGGAGCGGATAGGGAACGGGAGACCAGGACAGATGCAGGTGCAACCGTCACAGCACGGGGAAGGTTACAATCTACCCCAGCAGCGGCGGACATCAGCGGAGAACTAGTGAGGCCTCCGGAAGCAGCAGAGACCACAGAGGCACCTGCAGCAGCAGCATCTCTTCCTGCCCACACACCAACTCCCACCGCCCCACACCCATGGCTGAACCCACCAGCAGCACAGGCCAGCCCGATGCCAGGCATGCTACAGGTGGGAAGCACCAGCAGCCTTTTCATACAGGATACTGGGATCAGTGGCAGGGAGGGAGTGGAGACAAGGGGAGGCAGAGCAGAGACCGGTACAGCCAGAGAGGCGCAGGTGGAACAACAGCCCACCACTACAGCGGCAAACAATGACAGGGAGGGAGAGGACCGGGAAGGAGAACCCAGGACAGACGCAGCAGTCACAGAACAAATGAGGATGACAGAGGTAGCAGGGACCAGCGCAGCCGCTGCAACGCAGACGGCAGGACAACCTGCGTTAGCAGCCGGAAGCGCAAGAGGAGCAGAGGTAGAGATTTTGGTGCCACCAACCATGAAGCTGGGAGAAACCTTGGTTGTCACGAGCAGCCGTGTCAACGATTTCCTACGAGCTTGCGAAGGCACTGAAGAACTTCCCTCTAAAGGAACTACACCCACGCTGCCACCCACGACCACACTGCAGGAAGGACAGAGCCGCCCGGTCAACCTCACACCATCATCACAGGCACAGGGTGATGCAGCAGCAGCTACACCACAAACACAACAGCCCGAGCAGCAGCAGAAGGACAGCAGCATTGAAGAAACCAGCAGTCAGGGAACCAGCAGTGAGGAGACCATCGGTGAAGATGCCAACAGAGATGGGACCCAAGTCCTCTACTGCCCTATCGAGTTTGACCCGTGTGGAGGAGAGGACGAAGCAGAACAGCCCATGAGCCCCATGAGTCAGACCCATGCCACCCCGGGGTATGTGAAGCTGACAAAGAGGGAGATTGGCAAGGCGGCAGCAGCTCTGATGCGGGGGGAGCAGTCCGGCATGAAGGGGTTGGAAGCGGCATATGGGCTTCCGGAAGGGGAAGACCTCCCTGCGGTATGGCACCGTTTCTTCGAAGATATGCAGTCACTGCTACTCAACAAAGCACCACCAGAGGCCCCCACCTCCTCACCCTTCAAGACCTTGCCCGAGCTCTTGTGCAAGGCACTCAAGGAGGAGCTAGCTTCCTTCAAAAACTGCCTGCGCACTTTCAGCAAAGTAGCAAAGGGCCTATGCGAACTCCGGCAGCAGTTCAGACAGGGAGAAGTCACCCACGCTCTACGGATTTCAACCCCCAAACTACAGCTAACCGACCCCATCCTACAGGATAAGCTGAACCAGGACCTGGATAAGGAGCTGAAAACCTTCAAAACGAAGGCCCAGCTGACCCGGATGGCGTACAAAGAGAAGGAGAAGGCTGTGTGTGAGACAGCCGCAGAGGTCTGGTCGGCACGGACTTTCTCCGGTTTCGAAAGCTTCCTAGAAAAAGACCTCCACCTCTTCGAGACCCACGCAGCACCCAACACCCCTGCTCCTGACGCTTACCTCAAGGAGCTGGCCGCTGACTTCATGGCACGCGGCATGGCACGCGAGCTGATGTACCATGCAGTGTGGATAAAGCGCAGCCGCAACTCGAAGGCAAGGGTGACGGCTAAACGGGAGAAGGTACGGGATGAGCAAGCACGGGGGGTGGAGATTCAAGCTAACCCCTCTACCGATCTAATCGCCCTGGTGAAAACGCTGGTCAGCCCTCTGCAACAGCGAGTCGAGGCTCTGGAACAACGCCAGTCAAAGAGTGGGCCTTCGGTAGAGCCCAGGAAGCCAGCAGGAAAAAGCAAGGCACAACGCCGGAAGGAAGCAAAGAAAAACAAGGCACGAAACCGAACCATCCCTCAGCAACCCACAGCAACGACAGCCCCTCAGACGGAGGGAACCACGGGGGGGGTGACTGAAGCAAGGGCACAAGCTACACCGGCAGCAGTTGCTGCAGTAGCAGCAGGACCAGCAGCAATTGCAAGCGCCGCGCAAGGAGCAGCAGGATCAGCAGCAGCAGTGGCGCCAGCCAGTGCCACTACACAACCAGCAGCAGTACCAGCACTGGCAACACCACGGGCGACAGGTACAGCAGCTGCAACATCGGTAGCAGCTGAGGTAGCTGCACAGCCGGCACCAGTGGCGGCTAACCCTGCAACACTCCCGAGGCACACGGATGGCACACGACGGGGAAGGCGCCTGCAGGCGGCAGAGAGGACCTCGCAGCCGTCCGCGGCAGCCAGGGCGACTGCTGCGGCGGTGAAGGTAGCTATGCGTGGTTTGAAGGTAAACCTGTCTAGACAACGCCGCACTGAGACAGCCTACACAGCTCTACAGAAACCATGGCAGCAGCACTATGCTCTTCGTATGGCACCCCAGCACCTCCCACAGTACGGAAGGCCAGCAATGCTCGCAGGCAGGAGCGCACCACAGAGAGCACCGGCACAAGCACAACAGAGGGAACACATGGAAGAGAGGGGCCGTTTGAGTGGGACAGAGCGGGAACCGCCTCAGAGCACACGGTTAGATCAAGGGCAGCCAGCGCAGACCGGGCAGCTGCCCGATACTGGACCCGCACTTGACCGCACAGCTCTACAGGCACAGGAGGCGGCTGACCGCACTCAAACTGCGCTAGCACAGAATGCACAGCAGCCCAACACCCCTGCCCAACCCGCGCTGCAGGCACCCATGCAACCAGCAACATCTGCATACCCTTTCATGGCAGCCCCCTCATTCCCCAGCATGTACCAGCAATACCCCTTCGCACCCATGCAACCCACCATAGCCACTGGCAGCCATTTCCTGCCACACACACACCCCTTCCTCTTCTCCCAGCAGGCTATCCCCCTACAACACACCTCGGCACCCGCTCAACCTGCTCTCTCAAACATGTCGGTCATGCCAGCAGCACCTGCACCTCCGGCATACACTTACGCATCCACGACTCCCCCTCCCCAGCAGGTCGCTCAAGGACCGCAAGCTCAAATGGCTTTCGGGCCCCCCGAGGGTACGGGGGCACCGCTCAACATCAACTATGCCCCTGCTGCCTTTGGCATGCCCATGCGTTTTTTATGCTGACGATCCCTCCCCTTCCCACCCAGAATAACGCAGCTGACCCATCAAATCCAAGAACAGGCACGGGTCACAACGCTACCCCAAGGTATGTACACCAGCCCCCACTCAACCCGTTCCCTCTCCCCAGCCAACTAAACACACCTCTTAATGCCCCTCGCCAACGAACCAACGTAAATACCAGACCTAGAGACATACCAGGCCAGCCCTCTTACTCTCTGCCCAGCTCCTCTAACACCCCACCGTCAAAGGGCGTGTCTCATAGAAACGAGGTAAGCCCCCCTCCCTTACACCGCTCAGCTGCACCAAATGATACCAACCAGCAGGTAAGCATTCCCAAAGCCGAGAAGCAACCCCGTTCAAGACCCAGGAAAACCAACTTCAGCAGCCCTCTGACCCCAACCCAGAAACGTCTCCTACGAACATCCCAAATCATTGTCCAAGACGAGCTCAACTCCAAGTTCATACACAACAAATCCACACTCAACTTATCACCCACAGAACTTGAGGGCCTAAGCCTAGGACTCTCGTTCATCCCAACACCCTCACCCCCCACTGAAAAAACAGTAAGGAGTGCCCTCGCACGTTTCGTGAGAAGTGTGAGGCTTATCTCACACTTCTCGTCCAGAGCGTCTTCCACTGATGACGCGCCCAGCTCGCAGGAACATGAGCGTGCATGCGTTGCGATGCTTGAAAAGGCTGGGCAAGAACCCAAATGTCGTGGTGAAGCCAGCGGACAAAAATCTAGGACTGGCCCTACTAGACACCTCTTGGTATCGAACGGAGGCACTCAGACAGCTATCAGACACTAGCACATACACCCTAGTGGAATCGGTACCTATGACCGACCTGCGCGAACGCCTTAACACCTGGTGCTCGAGGTACGAGAGAAGTTTCCCTCCGGAAACCATCGAGTACATCCTGCAACCAAGAGTTGAAGAGCGCGCAGGCGTGGAACACGGGCAGTTTCGTGTATGCAGATTCTACATGCTACCGAAACTGCACAAGACGCCAATCAAAGGAAGACCGATCTGCTCATCTACACTCTGGATTTTCGAGCATGCCAGCCAGGTACTAGATCACTATCTACGCCCGCTTCTAACCTTGGCACCAGCCCACTTACCAGACTCGATCACCCTGCTGCACACGCTCCGCACCCTACCGATACCTGAACACGCCATCTTTCTGACGTACGATGTGGAAAGCCTGTATCCGTCTATTCCGTTACAACAAGGCCTCACCGCCATTCGAGAAACGAAAGACAAATTTATACGCAAGCATGGTTACCCGGTGTACTCGGAGAAGGGCCCTGCTAAGCAGCTCAGTGCTTGTTGCGCACTGCTCGAGCTAGTCATGACTGAAAACCACCTTCAGTTTGACGAGAGGTTCTATCGACAGATCCGCGGTACTGCCATGGGGACCCCAGTAGCAGTGATCTACGCAGTGCTGTTCATGAGCTGGTTGGACACCCTCATGGAGGAACAATACCCTTCACTATCAGAGCACGTACTACTGCACAGACGATATATCGACGACGGACTTGTGGTCTGGACAGGATCGCTAGCAGATCTACACAGCTGGATAGAGGGGTACAACAGTCTCATGGATGGCATCCGCATCACTACCGAGATTAGTGCCACAGCATTTACACTGCTCGACATCACTTTCAAAAAAGGTACGCAGTGGGAAAATACGCGGAAGGAGAATGCTGGAGGCGGTTTTTTGGATACCTCGGTATACCAAAAGCCGTTGAACGTCTATCAATACTTCCCGTTCCACTCTGCACACCCGCGACACTGCAAGCGAGGCTTCATTATCGGTGAACTGTACAGGTATCTCCTGAGAGAGTCCTCAGAGGAAGGTTTCCGACGTATGAAGTCTGCATTTGCAGCACGCTTGAAAGCACGCGGCTACCACCCGACTTTCATTCGACAGATCTTTGACGAGGTGCAGTACAGCGACAGGGACGCGCGCCTGCAACACTCGGAAAAAGGTAAACAGCGCGACAGCAGGGTACTGCCTTTCGTACTAGAGTACCACCCGAGCCTCGAGCACACACGTGTAAAATCCGTGCTTCGTTCCGAGGTGAGCAAGGCAACCTTAGAGACGCTCTGCCCGAGACAGCCTTTCTTTTGCTTTCGCGCAGCACCTAAGCTCAGGAATGTGCTAGTCCGCGCTGCGTTCACAAGCGAGGATGCTCCAGATCCATCGGAGTGCAGTGCCGCATGAGTGCGACGCAGGGTTCGCTTACACACCACATCGGATTTCCCACTGAGTGCTCTCTTCCCACCTTACCTCGTCTCTCACTTGGCCGCACAGCCCCCGTCTCTTTCATGTCCTCCTTTTTCCCTCCTCCCCCTCCCCTCCCACACCCCTCCAGACTTCTCTCAAGACAATGCAATGACCTATACCACTCATACTCATGCCTCAGTCTGTCTCTCTATTCCTTCCAACACCCCTCTCTCCCCACATACACACACTCACACAACCCACCTGTATCAACAATCATCGCACACATCCCCGCCTGCATATCATCCAAGACATGCACAATCATCACACCATCCAGTGCAGACACGCATGCCCACCAACAACACTCGCCCCACGCTAAGCCCCCACGCAACACTGCGCACTGCACACAACTGCCGGCATGAGCAAACACGCGAGCACGCTGATAGTGACACTGACCGACAGCCCAATACAGTGCGCGCGTTGCCTAGGCGGGTTTACATTCAAAATCCCACGCATATCTATTTTCACCATGCGTCCCCTCCTGTCATGTCCCTGCCTAGCATTTTTCCCTGCCATGCGCCATACGTGTACCTTGCGCTTTACTACTCTGCAGGTATAAACTCCCCAAGAGCACGCCACAGGGACAGTAAAATATAATCGGCAACGCCCTAAGACCACATCATAATGTTTTCTTAGTTGATTATCTCACTTGAAGCAAATAGAATAGCCTTTGGGTGTTGTGTAATTTCAGTGAGGCGCTACTACAGGGGATGGGACTCTCTTCCCCAACCCTGTCTTCTCTACTTAGGCTAGGTTTCGCCACTCTTGCTGCTGTTAGCACTGATGATGGCCATTCAGTGGCCGAAATGCATTTGCAACAGTTATTTCAGCAGCCCTAGGGCGTTTCCTTAGCTTGAAAAGAGAAGAATAGATTAAAATAGGTTTTTTTCCGCGTATCTCACGGGGCTTTTCGCGAACAACATCGCGTCACCGCACTGAACCGTAATCGCGATTTTAGTAGGCGAGTCTTTTCTTGGCGAGAATTTTCTTTTTTTCTCGCCAATTCAACTCGATTTCCCCCCCCTCGATTCTCGAATCTTGACCCCCGAGGCGCGCGAGTCAAATGCGCGCCTCGGTTTCGTTTTTTTCAGCACCCCCACCCAATTTCAATTCGACCCAAATCCCCCCTCCCCAACTCACTCGCCACTCACCTCCTCCTCCTCTCACGCTCTCTACCTTTAGTAGCCGCCAAGGTAGTAAAGCCGCCCCAGTTTAAACTGGGCATTGCTAGCAGCTGCAGCTAGGCTTATTTTTTTAAATCAAACCCTAAACTACGCCGCGCGACGTACTTCAGATCGCACGAAGGAGTCGGAAGCCGGCTACTAGTATGACGGTTTACCTTGGCACGAGATCACAAACTTCTAGAAGGAGCAGCCACACTCACCATCAGCTAAGCACAATTAGGAGGCGGCTTGGTGTCAACTTCAGAGAAGCAGCGGCACGGAAAGCATCAGGCACTGGTACTTCAGGGGCCAGATCGGATTTCTCTGAGGTACCAAGGGCGGATTACGCCACGTCAGAGAACTCCCCCCTGCAAACTCCCTCTGTCCAATCCGCCAGCTCAGGACACGACGGATACGCCGAGCCAATGGCTGGAGAGGAGATGGGAGCGGGATCAGGCGCAGGGGCAGGCGCTCATGAACACGGCACACAGGCAATGCCTGAGATTTCAGCCGTCACGGATGCAGTAGCCACACCTGCAGCAGCGTCAACAGGCTTGGGGACAGCACCGGCAGGCATGACGGCACAGGCCACAACCGCAGCAGCGCCCGTAATCACACCGGCGGGCACAGAGGCGATGAAGACACCGACAGCCACAGCAGCACCCATGAGCACGAACGTAACCGCCACAACAGCAGTGACCACACCTGCAGCAACGGCAACAAGTTTGGGGAGAGCAGCTGCAGGCTTGATGACACAGACCACAAACACAGCAGCGCCAGTAATCACACCGGCAGCTGCAACAGCCATGAACACACCAACAGTCGCAGCAACAACCGTTAGCACGGCAGGCGCGAGCTCACCTGAACTGACACCACTAGAACCGACAGCCCCAGCTATGGAACCTCCAACCATCAACCCACCCGCAGACCCATCTACACCTAGTATCTCAAACCCTAAACCCTAAACCCTAAACCCTAAACCCCCCCCCGAACACCCCCCCTGCTTCTCTACACCCTGTGCTTGGCCTCGCCAACCCAGCTCAGATATTCCCCCCCCCCCCCCCCCCCCCTCCCCTTTCATGTCTTCCTTTTTCCCTCCTCCCCCTCCACTCCCACACCCTTCCAGACTTCTCTCAAGACAATGCAATGACCTATACCACTCATACCCACTGTTAGAATCCTAGCGTGACTTAGGAGCCATGGCTAGTGAGTGTCGAGAGGATTGAGTGTCGAGAGAATTGGAAAGGAGAATGAGTTAAGGATTGAGTGTCGAGAGAATTGGAGAGTAATGATGGTTTCACTATAGCACACAAGGTACATATAGCAAAATGAACAAAGGTGCACCACCAAACAATAGGAGCTACACTACAGTAAATTCTACAGGCAGTTATATAACAGAACATATAATTATATTTTCTGACACACCCCCAGAACTGCCTGCAGGAGAAAACCTGTGTAGAACACCCCTTGAACGGATACACCCGGTGCAGTGGAAGACGGCAGAGAGGTAAGTGAGGAGGAGGAGGCGAGAGAGAGAGAGAGAGAGAGAGAGAGAGAGAGAGAGAGAGAGAGAGAGAGAGAGAGAGAGAGAGAGAGAGAGAGAGAGAGAGAGGAGGTGAGAGGAGATAAGAACGAAGGAGGAGGTGAGTGAGAGAGATGAGGAGAGGAGGTGGGGGAGCGTGCATGAGCATGACAGCTCACTTCCGGCCATCCCTCTTACTAACCCCCTTTACAAAGGGGGAGGTGAGTGAGGGATGAGGAGAGGAGGTGGGGGAGCGTGCATGAGCGTGACAGCTCACTGCCGGCCGGCCCTCTTAACAGCCCCCAGGTCCTCACCCTCAATTCAACCACCCCCTTAAACTCACCCTCTTATCAGCTGCTCCCTTGTAACTCACCCCCCTTCCCCCCTTCCTTCCTCCAGCCCCTGCCCCACCCACGGTTCACACACCCGCCACCCCCATACCCGCCACCCCGCAGTTGCACCCACACCCGCCACCCCCTTACCCTCCCCCACTGCTGCACCTGCAGCACGGGATGGAGGAGAAGGGGGGGGGGGGGGGGGGGGGGGGGGGGGGCGGTGCTGCAGATCCCCTCCCCCCCTCTGCTGCACCCGCAGCAGGGGGAGGTAGGAGAAGGGTGGGGGACCTGGTGCTGCAGATCCCCTCCTGCCCCCCCTGAACCTCCAAGCTTCCCCCCCTTCTCCCCGACATCCCCATTGAGGGGGGGGAGGGGGGCGGGGGCGGAGCTGCGCGTGCGATTGTAGGGCACGCGGGCAGGAGGAACCCCCTCTTGCCACCCCCTCACCCACCACGTTGCAACAGGGCACCGGGGCCGCAGTTAGGGGCGGCAGATCGCGAGGGGCCATGGCTAGAGGCGACGGGGCCATGGCTAGGAACAGGGCCGGGCGCTGGGCAGGTACGGGGCCGGGCGGTGGGCAGGTACGGGGCCGGGCGCTGGGCAGGTACGGGGCCGGTTGCTGGGCAGGTACGGGGCCGGGCGCTGGCAGGTACAGGTACGGGCGCTGGGCAGGTTCGGGGCCGGGCGCTGGGCAGGTACGGGGCCGGGCACTGGGCAGGAACGGGGCCGGGCGCTGGGCAGGTACGGGGCCGGGCGCTGGGCAGGTACGGGGCCGGGCTCTGGGAAGGTACGGGGCCGGGCGTTGGGCAGGTACGGGGCCGGGCGCTGGGCAGGTACGGGGCCGGGCGCTGGGCAGGTACGGGGCCGGGCGCTGGGCAGGTACGGGGCCGGGCGCTGGCAGGTACACGGTCGGGCGCTGGGCAGGTTCAGGGCCGGGCGCTGGGCAGGTACGGGGCCAAGCGCTGGGCAGGTACGGGGCCGGGCGCTGGCAGGTACAGGGCCACGCGCTGGGCAGGTACGGGGCTGGGCGCTTGGCAGGAACGGGGGCCGGATGCTGGGCAGGTACGGGGCCGCGCGCTGGGCAGGTACGGGGCCGCGCGCTGGGCAGGTACGGGGCCGTGGCGCGGGCTAAGTACGGGGCCGGGCGCGGGCGTTATACGGGCCGGGCGCGGGCTAGGTACGGGGCCAGGCGCTGGCGACAGACGGGGCCGGGCGCTGGCTAGGGTCGGGGCCGTGCGCTGGGCTAGGTACGGGCCGGGCGCGGGGCTAGGTACGAGCCGAGCGCGGGCAAGAGACGGGGCCGGGCGCGGGCAGGGTACGGGCCGGTCGCGAGGCTAGGTACGGGCCGGGCGCGGGGCTAGGAACGGGGCCGAGCGCGGGCAGGGTACGGGGCGATCACGAGGCTAGGTACGGGCCGGGCGCGGGCGACGGAATCGACGAGGCCAGCGGGGCCAAGGGGCCGAGCTAGGGGCGACGGGCCAAGGGGCGGAGCCTAGGGGCTATGGGCGACGCCAAGGGGCGATGGGCCGGGGCCTAGGCTAGCAGATACGTAGGTGGTGGGCCCATTGATGTTAGGTCCTAGAACCTATTGCTCTTAATACCATGTTAGAATCCTAGCGTGACTTAGGAGCCATGGCTAGTGAGTGTCGAGAGGATTGAGTGTCGAGAGAATTGGAAAGGAGAATGAGTTAAGGATTGAGTGTCGAGAGAATTGGAGAGGAATGATGGTTTCACTATAGCACACAAGGTACATATAGCAAAATGAACAAAGGTGCACCACCAAACAATAGGAGCTACACTACAGTAAATCCTACAGGCAGTTATATAACAGAACATATAATTATATTTTCTGACACCCACGCCTCTCTCTGACTCTCTATTCCTTCCAACACCTCTCTCTCCCCACACGCACACACTCACACAACCCACCTGTATCAACAATCATCGCTCATAGTCCCGCTTGCACATCACCCAAGACATGCATAATCATCACACCATCCAGCGCAGATACGCATGCCCACCAACAACACTCGCCCCACGCTAAGCCCCCACGCAACACCGCGCACTGCACACAACTGCTGGCATGAACAAACACGTGAGCACGCTGATAGTGACACTGTCACGACGGCCCAATACAGTGCGCGCGTTGCCTAGGCGGGTTTACATTCAAAATCCCACACATATCTATTTTCACCCTGCGTCCCCTCCTGTCATGTCCCTGCCTAGCATTTTTTCCCTGCCATGCGCCATACGTGTACCTCGCGCTTTACTGCTTTGCAGGCATAAACTCCCCAAGAGCACGCCACAGGAACAGGAAAATATAATCGGCACCGCCCTAAGACCACATCATAATGTTTTCTTAGTTGATTATCTCACTTGGAAAAAAATAAAATAGCTTTTGGGTGTTGTATAATTTTAGTGAGGCGCTACTAAAGGGAATGGGACTCTCTTTCCCAACCCTCTCTTCTCTACTTAGGCTATGTTTCGCCACTCTTGCTGCTGTTAGCACTGATGATGGCCATTCAATGGCCAAAATGCATTTGCAACAGTAATTTCAGCAGCCCTAGTGCGTTTCCTTAGCTTGAAAAGAGAAGATGAGATTAAAATAGGGTTTTTTTCCGCGTATCTCACGGAGCATTTCGCGAACAGCATCGAGTCACCGCACTAAACCACAATAGAAATTTCAGCGGGCGAGTCGTTTCTTGGCGAGAATTTTTTTTCTCGCCAAGTCAACTCGATTTTCTCTCCCCCCCCCCTCGATTCTCGAATCTTGACCCCCCGAGGCGCGCGAGTCAAATGCGCGCCTCGGTTTTGTTTGTTTTTTTTTTTTTTACCAGCACCCCCACCCAGTTTCAATTAGACCTAAATCCCCCCTTCCCAACCCACTCGTCACTCACCTCCTCCTCCTCTCACGCTCTCTACCTTAGTAGCCGCCAAGGTAGTAAAGCCGCCCCATTTTAAACTGGGCATTACTAGCAGCTGCAGCTAGGCTTATTTTTTTAAATCAAACCCTAAACCCTAAACCCTAAACCCTGCTGGAGCTGGTGGTCCTGGAGGTGCTCGTAACGGGGCTACTGGAGCTGCCGGGACTGGTGGTGTTGAGGGCGCTGGAGCTGGAGACCATGCGGGGCCTGTAGCTGCTGGAGCTGGAGGCACTAGCGCTGGTGGCGCTCGAGCTGGAGGAGCTGGAGCTGGTGGAGCTGGAGCTGGAGGCACTGGCGCGGGAGGCGCTGGAGCTGGAGGAGCTGGAGCTGTTGACCCTGGAGCTGGAGGTGCTAGAGCTGGGGGTGCTGGTGGTACTGGTGCTGGAGGCACTGTGCCGCCACGACCGTACTTCGTTCCCCTGCTTCAGCAGGTTCTTAGTGTCCCGTCTTCTACTAGCCTTACTCCTCCCGTACTGTGTCCACCGCCTGACCAGTCGCAGCCGCCGTTACCGCCAGCCTCCCTACTGCCTGCTCCTTCTCCTTACTCTGAGCAGACCGGTGGCCTTACAGAGCGTCGTGAGCCTGCATCTCGTCCTGCCCCCCCTGTTCGCACTGGTCGTCGCGGTCCTCGTCCGCGTCCTCCTCCTGTCCCCGGCACACACGCTATGGCACTTCGTCCTTCCTCTGTTCCACTGCGTGTTCCTCTGCCTGCTCCTCCGAAGTCCTCTCTTCCTGCCGACCCTGACCCTAAGTCTGACCGCGCTTGTGCTGCCAGTCCCACTGTCTCTCGTCTCCTCGCCACTGTTGTCATTGACCCTTCTTTTGAGTCCACTGCTGCGTCTGCCCTCGTTGCTGAGCTGGTTGACTTTGCTGCTGCCTGTCGTCTAGACTACGCCACTGCTCTTGCTGCTGTGTCTGAGTCTGCCAGTCCTCTGTCCGTCGGGGGTGAGTGTTCTCTTGGCACAGACGTCCTTAAGGACAGGCAGGACGACTTTGAGTGTCTTGCAGCTGCTCTACCTTGTTTCGCTTCCATGCTGCTTGCCCCTGAGGGAGACCCGGATGCACCAGACATCCCGACCCCACGCTCTTACGCAGAGGCAATTACGAGTCCTTACTCCTCTCAGTGGCAGGCAGCCATGGATGCCGAGATGGCATCCTGGAAGTCCACAGGCACCTACGTCGACGCAGTTCCCCCGTCTCGGGCGAACATAGTCGATGGCATGTGGATTTTCAGGGTGACGCGACCGCCGGGTTCTCGGCCTGCCTTCAAGGCGCGTTACGTTGCTAGAGGCTTCAGTCAGCGACAAGGGGTCGACTACTTCCATACCTTCTCCCCCACCCTGAAGATGACTACTCTTCGGGTGTTGCTGCACGTCGCTGCTCAGCGTGACTACGAGTTGCACTCTCTGGACTTCAGCACAGCTTTCTTGCAGGGCAGCCTGCACGAGGAGATCTGGCTGCGCCGCTCACCTGGCTTCAGTGGGTCATTTCCTGCAGGTACCCAGTGGAGTCTCCGGCGGCCAGTCTACGGTCTCCGTCAGGCGCCTCGTGAGTGGCACGACACACTGAGGACTACACTTGCGGCTCTGGGGTTTACTCCTTCTACTGCTCACCCGTCGCTGTTTCTACGCACCGACACGTCGCTGACGCCGTTCTACGTCCTCGTGTACTTCGACGACCTCGTCTTTGCCAATGCTGACACTGAGGCACTGACCCTTGTGAAGTCGGAGCTGTAGAGGAGACACACCTGCACTGACCTGGGTGAACTGCGCAGCTATCTTGGCTTGCAGATGACCCGGGACAGAGCACGGCGCACCATCACCCTGACTCAGTCACACATGGTGCACCAGGTCCTTCAGCGCTTCGACTTCCAGTTCTCCTCGCCACAGCCCACTCCTCTGTCTACCGGCCACTCGCTCTCAGCTCCACCTTCGGACGAGTCCGTAGAGCCGAGTGGTCCGTACCCAGAGCTTGTGGGCTGCCTCATGTACGTGATGACGTGCACTCAACCTGACCCCGCATACCCTCTCTGCCTCCTGGCTCGCTACGTGGCTCTCGGTAGGCACCGAAAGGTGCACTGGGATGCTGCGAAGAGGGTACTGTGTTACTTGTGCAGTACGTCGGGCATGGGGCTCGTGCTTGTAGCACGGGGTCCAGTTGTCCTCACTGGTCACGCAGGCACTTCTTGGGTTGACGACTTGGCTACGCAGCGGTAGTCACAGTGTTACACCTTCAGCCTCGGTTCCGACTCTGTTTCCTGGCGGTCTACCTGCTCGTCTTCGGTTCTCAGCTCTAGTTGTGAGGCTGAGATCTACGCAGCGGCCATGGCTGCACAAGAGCTACGCTGGCTCACCTACCTGCTGACTAACTTGGGAGAGCAGCCTCGTTCGCCTCCAGTTCTGTACGTCGACAACAAGGCCATGATTGCCTTGTGTCAGGAGCACAGACTGGAGCACAGAACAAAGCACATCGCTCTGCGATACTTCCTTTCTTGAGAGTTGCAGCAGCGTGGCCATCTTCGTCTTGCGTACGTGACCACTAGGGCCAACACTGCTGATATATTCACCAAGGCACTTCTGTCTGGTGATCATCAGCGCTTCTCTAC